AAAATATAAATCAAATATTTTTAAATAAATTTACTTCATACAAAACCAAAATGACATTAAAACAAAATTAATTTTAATTTATTAATAATAATATTACTCAATAATCAAACGTTTTAAATAAGTTTTATTATTTAAATTCATTTAAAATCAATATTTAATAAAAAAAAAAAATCATGTGTTATATATGTATACATTACTTTTTTGTAACAAAAACTGTTATTGTTACATCAATAATATAATTTATTTTAATATTATAATATCAAGGTTAGTTCATTTTGATTGCAAACTGTATTTGTAAAAATATCCTACACCTTTACTGAATTGTACAAAAAAAAAATTTTAGGGAAAACTTCAAACATGTGCCCAATGTCACACTTTCAGTACTAATGATGACTTTTTAGTATACATAAAGAGTAACAGAAATGACACAGATTACTATCATCATTATCCTCGAACAAAGCAACAGCAACAACAGCACACACACACACACACACGCATTAATTTTTATTAATTAGTTATAAAGTAAATATTAAATTAAATAAAATTATTTAAATTCTTACCTCTCTTGCCATTACGTCATGATGCTGACCGTGGGCAACCCCACGAATTGCTTCACGTCCTCCTACTGCAGAGCATATCTATTATGAGTATTTTATTACACTTATTATAACACCACATTTCATTTTAATTTTCATTTTTTTTTATTTTTAATGTATTTCAAATACAAAAGATAAAAAAAAAAAAAAAAAGAAAAGAAAGAGAAAGAGAGAATTCACTTTGTAAAATGATGTGTAATCATAATACGACTCACAAATATGATAAAATAATAAAATTTACAACAATGCATTTCAACACAACCGTTTTTCTATTTTTTTATAAATAGTTTTTTTTTTATCTGTAAATAATAATTTAATGAAAATAAATATATACGTACGATATCATTTATTAATCCATAATCTTTTTATAATTAATAAAGCCGACGTATTTTTTTTTTTTGTTAAAAATCTATTTATTAATATGAGTTGACGAAAATATTATAATGGCGCGTTGTGTACAATTTAACGAACGAATGAAAAAAATGATTTGAAATTTTTATTTATTATTTATTTAATCGTGAACTCTTTCGAAAATAAAATAATAGAAGAAAAAAATATATCCCGTTAAATTATTATTATTATTATTATTATTATTTTTCTTAAAGAAATATAAAAAGCTGTTACCAAAAATCGATTACAAGACCTTTTATATGTTATTCTGGGTCATTATTATATTTCTTAACGGTAACACTGTCCACTTTTTATTTTTTTTATTTTTAATATATAAAAAAAACAATTATAATCATTTAAATATATTATTATTATTTAAGAACACATATTAAAATAAACCCCCGAATTCAAATTATCTTTT